ATGGTAGTTGTTTTGTAAATGTTCACTGTAATACTGCATGCGACCTGTCCTGTGAAGTCATGTCACAGTTGGCAGAAATTAAAGTTGAGCCCTTTAAACAAATAGTTGAGTTAAATTCCTCTTTTCACTGATGAACATTCACCATGTTCAGGTTCATTTCAGGACAGATGTTCTCTTTATTACATTTATATGGCAAAATATCAGTGTGGTCAGCTGAGACGAGATAGTTTGTCATGCCGTTGACTTCCTTGATTTGATTTGTCACTTTCTCTCGTGTACAGTAAATTTTATCACAAGGCTTCTCAGACCCACACAGAAGCCATTTTGACACTGCTACCACTTCTAAGGCGAAGGTTATGTTTTTACTCTTTCTTGGTGGGTTTGTTCACAGCACAACTTTAAGGGTTAAGTTTTTATGGTCAGGAAATCATGAGGGTGGAACTATGATGGCATTGCTTTTGGCATTATGGGACGGTGAACTGCCTTTGTGGAGGTTCACACACTGAGTGCTGTCTAATGTTCCCATGGGTGATGGGTGACCTACGTGTACTCTTTCAGTGTCAAACTCTTCACTGCTCCTTCTGCAGAATAGGTCAGTGGTGTGTTTCTTTGAGTGATACACTTCAGGCGAAGAGAAATGGAAGATGGGTGTAGATGGGGAGATGGTGACAGGAGAAAGACAGTTATACAACAGACTTGTGTAAGAAACAAAGAAAGTTCAGAGCGAAAGATGTGAACCACCGGTCAAACTTTTGCATTTTAATGAAGTGGAAGTCCTGCTGCGAGTGTGTATACATGCTTTTGTGTGTATTCACAGTATTGATGGACAGAAATCCTGGGGGGTTGGGGGGGCGGGGGCTAGGCGGATACTGGATAACTACAGACAAGGAGCAAGACTGCAGCAAAGCGAGCGAGCGTGCAGCACACTGGGGGACTGACTCGGTCCATGAATGTGTGAGCAAGACCATTTCAATGCCTTCATACTTAAATTATTAGTGTCTGACTGTACAGTGTGTGAGAGAATGGGCGGTAAGACGGAGACATACAATGACACGAGTGTCAGAGAAAGTGGGATATTCTTGTTAGACAGCGCCCTAGGCTGAAAGAAGCTGACACCTTGAATTCAATTATTAATATGGGACATGTACTTATCTTTTCATTCAGATCTGCCTGTCCAGTATCTTGCTCCCCTCTCTAGCTCTCTTCCTGGCTATAAGATCTTGAGCGAGATGGTGCTGTGAGTGGCTGCCTGTTACAGCAGCAGCTCTGGCTCACTACTGAGTTTTTTCTATATTTAGTTTGTTTTGCTGTTTCTTTTGCAGTACCGACACTAAACTGCAGACATTGCCAAGTCCCCGTTTCTACTTTTCTCTGTTTATGACCATGCCAGATCCCGCACAGAGCCACGGTACCTACTGTGTAGACAAGAGACCCACTGTTAGTGCTCCGCAACACAGCGGTACGGCCACATGAGAGGCCCGACATTCCCAGCAAGCTGAGGAGGATAGGTGGGAGACGGGCAGGAGCTCTATGCAGGGCCAGGAGGAGACGGTGCAGACATTATGGCGATAGCTGTGTACGTCTCCCCCTCTGCTAACCCTGATGCTGCCTGTGACGTCCTGGACTCACCTGTGAGCAGGCTGCAGACTCGGCATCCACAGGCCCCACCAAGTCAATCTCAGACACCCGCAGACTGAATACACACTGCAATACGTTTTACTTTTCTCTGTTTATATTTATATTGATAATAACTTGTCTGCTGCTTTTTGATTCTTAACCCCGAGTGCCTGTTTCCATCCCTTTGCTGCTGTGGTGGTGTGAATTTCCCCGTCGTGGGACTAATAAAGGTTTATCTTATCCTATCTTATCTTTAGTGGCACTGCTGGAGCTCGAGTCCTTACTGAGTGTGCGAGGTAAACCATCGAGTGTTGGCACGGTGATGCTCTGGCATCATTCATCTCTCATATCCTTGTGCCCTGAAGCCAAAATGAACAGTCCTAATATTCATAAAAAGTACAGCATTAGCACATCACAGACATCATGGCTCGATGAGCAAAAGGTCAACGAAAATGTTGAGTTTTGGAATAAACCTTTTGTAAATTCTCAAGCAAGATACAGTTTATAGTATAAACAAAGGATTAATGTGGCAGGACACAGTAGGGGTTTTGAAATCACTCTGAAATGACATTTTCAGCCTAATTTTTTAATGCGTTTTCTGCAAAACAACCTCCCCTCTGAGCAGTTCCAATAACTGAGACTCCACTATGATGGTGGTGTGGGTTCCAGTCAGCTCCATATCCCATATATACAGTATATTTGTGCAGTAATGTGTAACCACAAACATCTGTCTTGCTGCATGTTTGATTAGTCTCCTGACATGAGCAGGACAAGATTGTTTACAGCTAGGAATTTGATTTAGTAAAATATTGGCCCACGTTTAAGGGTTGAAAATGTCTGTGTGAATGTTTGTGTGCACAAGCATCCCTATCTACCTGCCTCATTGCTGTCCAGTGCATTTTAAAGCATGAACAGCCCTGTTAAAAAAAAAATCTGTAACAGAACGGTAATATTCTACCAACTGTGGCGCCAATAAAATACTGTAAAAGAATGGGAATTGACCAACTTATAAAAATAGTCATGTTTCATAATTAAAATACAGTTTGTGGCTTTATTGACATTAAATCCTGTCTCTTTAAGTTTCTTAAATGATACTATCCTATAATGAAAACCATATATTTACAGTAACTTTAAAACGCATCCACATGCAATTCTAAGGTCATTTTGTTTAATTACAATAGTTGGTCTGTATTTGTATTTTTACAAGAATCAGTTCATTTAACATGAAGAACTTGCTGTACATCTATTTCAATGTTAATTTAATTCTTTCCAAATACTGTAGTTCTTGCCTTTAGATTTCTCATGATACCATCATATATAACATCATTTGCAAAATGCACTTTTGAATTTGGATGCTCTTTATTTGTGGTTGGTATTTTGACAAGTCTGTTGCAGTTACCCTTCCTAGTTTTACTGCTTCAGGAGCATTCAGTTTATTACTGTCACTCAATTCTTGTCTTTGAAAGTTATTTTTAACATGGTAATTGTGACAATGGTATTTTATTTGGAAAGTTGTGGGGGAAAAATGCTCTCCAGTAGAGATGGGGGGATTTTATGAATGCTGCAAATCTAATCTGAACAACTGTCTCCATCTGAAATGCATCAGTCAATATTTACCTGAAAGTTGTTCTCTATTCAGAAACCTTTTGTGAAAGCACAGCTGCTGGAAGCTCAGCTAAATGATACACTGCAATGGCACAATAGCAATCTTTAAAAAATTTGAAGGGTCTTCTTATTGTAACCATGCTCTTCAAATATAAAACCTGTCCTTTGAATTTAAATCATCTATTTTGTGCAGAGCAGCTTGCAGAGTTAGACACATCAGAGACGTTCAAGTGTGGAACTGGGAAATCTACTTCTGTGCTGATGAAAAGCCTCAAGCCTTTAAAATCAAGGGACAGGTTTTATGAAAATCACAACCTGGAAATTGGGGCTTTGAGCCTTGAAATGGCGCATTTCACAGGTGTGTGTTTGGACAGCATCTCATATTTACAGCTTTATGTAGGCAGTCTTTTCAACTTGGCCTCGATTTTATGTCGACACAAAGAGAAGACCTCCTAGTGAAGGATATTTCTATGAATAAGCCACTTTGAAATATTAAACCCAAATTGAAAAATACATTAATGCCCACTCATAGCAGTAATTTCGATTTCTGCTTCATCATAAGAGGTGTACTGATGTGTAAATAGTAACAGTAGTTTGACATCTTTTACTTCTCCACTGTAGCTTAGGTGCAGGATGTGTGTGTTTGTTTTTGGTGCTTGTTTAGCAAGTTTCTATTTGTGTATGACACAGGGACTGTTGGACCAGAGCACACATAGGTTTTGAGTCATTGTTTAACCAAACACTGCCAAAATACAGTACTTGATTGATTGATGCAATGATTTGTATTTTGAGTTGCTGCGGGTGAACAAAATGCAGAAACTTGCTTTAAAAATTAGGGCAAAATCACGCAGTCCTAATCGTTACAGCTCTGCGCTTGTACATAGTCTGAAAATCTGACCAGAATATCGTCAGTGTGGCACAGCATTGTTAAAATTATCATTTCTGCTCGTCTTCCTCTTGTAGCCCTCAAGGGGCTCCATATGTTGTAGTGTTAAACAGTCCTCACTCTCTTCACATCTCCTCCCCCCTCCCTCCTCTCTTGCCAAGTGGTTTGGAACGATCCAGCCTTGCCGTTTCTCAACCGTCTCATGCTTGTTTTCTCCCCTCGACTCCTTATTTTGCTCTGCTTGTATGCCTGTCTGCCGGCCGTTGTCTTCCGAGTGTGCGTTAATTTACGCTCATGTTTAAGGCATCTAACAGATGTGATGCTTTGCATTCCTGTGTCATCCCCATTCCACCTCACTAATGAGCTGTATTTAACTGACAATTGCAAGGAAAACCATTTGACACAGCATCATGCAATTTTGGCAAATTGGTGTCCCCACTGATGCAGATTTTAGACTTCTGGTGTTTTAACTTAAAAAAAAAATCTGATCAGTGAGTGATGGGAAGCGTGACAGAGACCCAGGGCTGGCTTCAAACCTAGCACACTGACGCATCTCAGTCCACTGCGTCACCAGGAGTCTGTCTTTGACTCTTGGTGTGTGACTTGTCTGCCTTCTTCTCCTTTGACTTCTGAAGCAATGGGTGCATGCACTAGGCGGCTGATGTCACACCCTTGAGTTAGCTCAGACAGCGGATTGCAACTGCTTATACAGTTTGTTTCCTAAGTACTGTAAATAAAACTGATTCCTGAGGAAGAGTAGTTGCACATAAATCACAAACATTAGTATTTCCTTTGAAAAGTATGTAAAAAATGAAAAACCTGCATCCATAAATAAAAAGGACATTTTTCTGTTAACACAAAGGCCATCACTTTTCTGTTCTATTCCTGCCAGGTCTTCCGAAGCGGTGAAGGCATGGGCATCCGTCTGGACAGTGCCTCAGCCTTCCAGGGTGCTATCATCTCACCTCACTATGACTCCTTGCTGGTAAAAGTCATCGCCAGTGGGAAAGACATGTATAAAGCAGCTTCCAAGATGAGCCGAGCTTTGGCCGAGTTCAGAATACGAGGGGTCAAGGTAGGATGTTCTATCGTGTGTACATGATGGTGCTTTGTGTGCAGTGTTTTCTTGCTTTGATTTGCATTTAAAGTTCTCAGTGTTTCCTACAGGGTGATACAATTGTGACCTTTTGAACTGATGGTGGAAAATATCAGTGCTTTGTTGAAAAGTAGGCAGCACTTAAGGGCCCTAAATATCTGACATGATGAGGGGTTCTTTATTGACAGCAGAGGTGTAAGTTTGTGTTCTCTGCTTTGGTTTTTGATAAGAGCCCATCTCAAACTGTGCAAGCAAGTCTGGCATGGTTAATGGTGTGATGCAGGTAAAACAGAGGTACAGCTCTTTGAAGGTCTCCATTGATGGATTCAGCAGCAGATTGAGAAATGACTCATGGAGCCTTAGCCTGACGTCTCGGCGGTTGATTACATGCTCTATAGTACTTTATATTTTTTGGTTTTCACACTGAAAACATTCTCTGTCAGTGTCTAAAACTGCCTGAGGTTACATCTATGCAAAAAGACAGAGGTCTCTAGTTTGAGGGAGGTTGTGCTAAACATTATCAGCAGGTACAAATGGTTGTTAACAGTAGCCCTTTTTACACCGCCTGCTCAAGGCCAGATTATTGCACCAGTTGTCCACCATGCTGTTCTGTAAAAGGTACCAAACCGGCATGAGGGCGTCAGTGTTGATCCTGCTTTATTCTTCCACAAAAGGTAGTAAAATTGGTGGAACCATTCTGCCTCTGTGTAAAAGAGGAGAGGTGGCTTGGGTGGCGGTGTGGAAGTGTTTCTGCACTGCACCGCCAGAGGATTTAAATTTTAATGATGCTCAAAAGAAACAGAATCTGTGACCATAATCATTAACATGTTGTACACCAGTGGTCACCAACTAAAATTCCGGGAGGTCCAGTCACTCAGCGTCTTTCCAAGTCGAGGTCCAGACTATTAGGCCACATCATTCATCTTTTTGTTTTTATGCTCTGAGCTGTTGGAGCAGTCAGCCCCCGGAGGTTTCAGAACAGCTGAAAGTGTTAATATTTTATAGATAAATGTATAGCCTCCCTTTCTGTTTGAAACCTCTTTGGGTCTGGGTCCGGACCGGAGTCTGCCAGTTTGTGACCACCGGTGTACAACAATAGTCTGAATCATGTCGTACATCTGCAGGGCGAGCAAAAGCACATCTCTGCTCCACATCTGTCGGTGCTGATTTGAAAGTCAGAACATCACTTGTATGCCTGGTATATCTGATGTCATGTTAAATGTCACACCTCTAATACCTCTATCATTACAGTATCTCTGTAAAAAGGCCACAGGGGCAGCGCTTTTTTAAGGAATGGCAGCCCCTCCAAGTTCAATGCAGCTTCCATTTTATAAATCCATTTAATAGTTGATAGTATGCACCTTGCAATTAAAGATTAGTATCTGGATGAGTAACGTGTGCAGGAAGATCATAGCACATGTTTTTATTTCCCATATCACTGAGCTGAAAGATGTGTTGAGTTATTCATCAAGCCACAACTACAAGCAGTGCATTTGGCAGTCAAGGCCTTAGATGTTGTTGTCCACAAGGAAACTAGGTGAACAGTTTCTGTAAGCAGCTCAGTTTGCTAGACTCATGCACATTCCAGTTATTAAGCCTCAATAAAGTATAGTTCAAAGCTGAGAGGCAATTGATGATTTGTTGTCTTTGTGAATCAATTAGCAAATTGTCAGAAAATGAGAACTGCTGCTTATTTTGTGCATAACTACAGTTAAATGAAAGCACTTTGTGTAGTACTTTTGTTATGCAACAACCAAAGTGTAAATGAACTGAGAATGACTGTCAGCAGTGGTTAATTTAAATTAATTTGGAGGTGTGACTTCACGTCCATGGATCAGTAGCAGTTTATTAACTTAGACTAACCGTCATATGCAAAGATAATTGTGGTGTGTTTGTACTGCGCATATGTAAATTTGTTGTGCTTTTTAAATATTTGCTTTGCTGAATGCCATTGCAGAGTTTCCTACCTGTAGTGTGATGGAAATAAAGGCCATGATGGAAATAAAGGGGTCGCTGTAGCCAGCGGAACTGCTCAGTTTAGCTCAGCCATAATGGTCCCTCAGTCTGTTTTGAATTAATCATAATGAGGTGAAATTGTAAGTTAAATTGGTCTTCTCAACTCTAATTTTTCATTTAAATGGAAGTGCACTTTACACACCGTCAGCACAGATTTAATTGATTAATTTTTCCCTTCTGTTAGTGAAAAAGTGCTTATGTTAGTCAGGGCTAGATGGGCCTGTGGACACTGTCCTTTGTCCTCACTGCTGCGGTTTATGTAAACACACCCTGGGAAATCAGCCTAATGTACCTGCAATTGAATTCATTCTTTACAAATGGAGGCTTCTCAGTGTATAAACTGAGGGTTTTGTTTTTGGTAAGGACAAATTGCCAAGAGGACAGTGTGCTGAAAACAAGCTGCTAGGAAAAACCTCAGCCCGTCCTCATTCCCAGGAAGTCAAATACTGACCATATATCAAGTATCTTTAGCTTCTCATATGGACACCAAAAGGCTACCTTTGGCTTCCGTCCTAAACCTAACTGGGTCCTTTTGGTGCCTAAACATAACCACATTATTTTTTGTACTGACACAAGTGAGCTAACACTGTTCTGTAATGAAAACCCTGAATCAACAGCAAAGGCTCCCTTTAGCATCAGTATGAGGCGCAGAAGGTACTTTTGACACCCAGGGAATAAGAACACGTTAGAAACCGTGTTGCTCATGCTGATCAGACTTAAAGTTGAGTGCTTTCCATTCTGCACCAACAGACAAATGCAAAGGCAGTATCGACCCAGGCAGCAAACGGTACACTGATGCAAAAAAAAACACTGGATAGCTGTAACACAGATTTTAAATTGCTGTAAACCTGCTTCTCTGCTGGTGGCAGCCAGCAACCATGGCAGCTCCTGAAATATGAGCAAAACCGGCTGCTTTTTCAGACACCATTTAATTTAAAGTCTGCCTGTTGTTTACTTGGGTTTAATGTTCCAGAGTTTAAGAAACACTAGTGTTTGTGGCCCTGTCAGTGTCTCACTGATAGCGACATTCCTATCAAAGTAAGCTCAGGGATGGTTTGACTTTAGATCCATCCTGATATGTTGTCTTTGAACAACATTGCTCCTCAACAGCCATGAACACCCACATTATTAAGCAAATCATTCCTCAACTCCCAGCATGCCAGTTAACAAGCATTGCATTTACTGTAGCTGATGGCTCGAGTATGAAGTTGCATACGTTGTTGGTTAAAATGAATCTTAAGGACCAAGTGCATTTCCTGTCTTTTGATCTATGAGAATGCACAGCTATGTGGCAAACGTGACCAATGAAAATGTTGAATACCACAAGAACTGTGGTTCAGCATTTCCTTGTTTGTGAGCAGTGACCTTGGACAGTGTTGCTGGTGCTGTGTTGGAATGCCACTAGTAAGAAGCCAGACAAATCCAAAGGCTTACTGACGCTAAAGGTTGGCATCCTCTTAACACAAAGTTGTTGTTTTTTTCCCGGGGAACACAAATTTGGCCACAGTAAATCTGACCTCAGCCACATTCTTTGTGTGGTAGCTCCATTTGTCACTGTAGTATAGTATAAGTGTTTAAATTCAAGTAAAAATCAAAGTACCAAGCTAAGTTTGAATTACTTTGACACTTGGCAGCATGCTCCTCTCTTCTGTTGTATGGAATTATGTTTGGCATTTCAAAAAGCTCTGTTTATCCCCTTTCCCTAGATGTGTAGATGTGTGTGCACAAGTCCATCAGCATTTTCAGTGCATTTGTGTGACGTGTGTGTGCGTGGGGAGGAGAAGCCATGTGTGTTCAGCAGTAAAATGTCAAGCATCTCACAGCACAGAGAGAGACGGAGAGTGATGGACAGGAATGCAACGGGACATGAGGCTGCATAGAGGAGCGAGGGGGCAATGGCACAAGGGCAGATGAGGGAGAGGGTGAAACATAAAACGACAAGGAATGTGGCGCTGCACGTAGAAGACGGTACACGTGGCAGTTGTCTGTATGTGCAGTGCACATTGATAGTTGAATTTAGAAAAGAAATGGATTCAACAGTGTACTAACAGTATCTGCTCTAACAAAAGCTGCAGCTTTTAGCATGCCCAGCTAGCTACAGCAGGAACTTACTGTGGTATTACTTTGCATAAACCTCTTTTAGTACAGTTTCATTTATGTAGCCATCATTTGCATATTTAAGACATGTTAAAAGTTTCCTGAACAGGATTCATCTGGAAACTGTCAGCTTTTTTTTAGCCAATTCACGGAGTAATTCAGCTAAATTAACTGGCTAGCTGGACCTGATGAACTCTTCCGGCAACGCTTGTCATTTCAGCTGGCAAGATTGACAGTTGTCAGAGATGAAGAGGCTGCTTCTGTGTTTACTGGTGTAAAATCAAGGACTAACATTTGACAAAAATAAGAGACTTCGGAGTGAAAAATCTGCCAATGGGGGGAAAAAATACTAGCTCTTGCAGTAATTTAGCACAGGAGGAGCCATATGTCTTCTCTGTGAATCATAAACACTAGCATGTCCTGTTCAAATTGCTCATTACACAGGATAATTCCAGGATTATCAAGAGAAACCAACTAATGACTGTATAACTAATGAGCTCAGGAACACACGTACTCCCTTACTGCAGAACATCAGATGCCTTCTGGCCATGTACTCTTTTCTTCTTGGACTGTGTGCATGTTTGTTTGTGTGTGAGAGAGAGAGAGAGACAACTGGAAGTCCAGTCTGGTGAGGACTTTTGATGTGTGTACAGGTTAGTGTGTGTGAGAAACTCTTCACTTTCTTTAGAAGTCATTTTTGTGACACTGGGGGTTTTGCTTTAGGCAGCGTGTTTCATTACTGTTCATTTTTACACCTTATCTCAGAGTGAGTGTGTTTGAGGGGACCTGAGGTTGTTGCACCCTGTGTGTGTGTGTGGAATGGGCTGGTGATGAGAGGCTTTTTGAAGAATCTTGGTAATGTTTTA